CATCGGATTACCACTTATTTCGATCCCTGGACAACTCCCTTCGTTTTAAAACTTTGAATGACGATGACGCTGTAAAATCTCACTTAACTCAGTTTTTGGCCGAAAAGGATCAGACTTTCAACGAGCGTGGAATTTTCAAGTTGTCGGAGAGATGGCAAAAGGTCATCGAACAAAATGGAAAATACATTACAGATTAAACTTCGTTCCAAGTAAAAAGAAATTATTTATTTCATTGAACAAATCGGCAATTACTTAGTTGCCAACCCAATACAAAGGAGAACATCGAGGTAGAACCTTGATAAGGTGATCTGACCGGTGAATATGTAAGCTGGATGTTTGTCCAAATGATTTTCGTCTAATTCCCCGGATAATATTATCGTAAGCGAACTGTTTTATTTTAGGTTCGTATATTTTTTATTCGCGATTGACAGTTGTAAATCTTTTTATAGGTGAAATATGTATAATACTTTGCGGAAGGATCAGACCTTCTACGAGCGTGGAATTTTCAAGTTGTCAGAGAGACGGCAAAAGGTCATCGAACAAAATGGAAAATACATTACAGATTAAACTTCGTTCCAAGTAAAAAGAAATTATTTATTTCACTGAACAAATCGGCAATTACTTAGTTGCCAACCCAATATCTAGTAGGAAAGGGAGACAACAATAATAGTTGCGAAATTTGATGATATCGATCCCGCGACTGGAAGTTATAGCCATTGATTCGAGAATGAAACGTTTCTAGGCAACGCGAGTCGAATCGGCCGTATCATTAGCCGGTCCGTGGTCTTCGTGCAGCCTTCTTACCACGAATAACTGAACGGAGACATTAGGCACGTAGGTAGTTCGCGTGCTACCTAATGTAGGATCTTGATCTGGTACTAGAATAGATCGACGAGGAAGAATGTTCTTCCGAGCGAGGTAAGTCGCCCGCGGAATGTTAACCAGACGTCGTAACTCGCGTTTATCGGTTCCCGATGTTATTAGTTCCGCCCCGTGGTACTCGGAGAGCCATTCAGCAGACGCTCGTTCCTCCGTTCACTATATACCCACTCCTTTTAATTGTTTACCCGTGGTCTCGGTAAATTAAACTCCGCCAGGGTCGATCGATACCATACACCCGCCTCCAATGACACCTCGGACCTCCCTGACAAACTTCGGTCTCGGAGACATTTTTCTGCCAATGCTATTTCGCGAGAGTCTCACTATCCAGTAACAATATTATTCTGTCCTCGACACAAGTTTATCATTAGACGGGATCTTTGCGCGTTTATGGTGTTCGATTACCTTTTTTCGATGCTTAATACTGCTGGTCGTGATTTACACGTTCCAGTCTTATACATATAAGTGACGTAATTGAAAATGGTGTAGGTCGTGAAAACAAAAAAATTGTGATTTTCATTTGTTTCATGTTACAGTCGTCTATGTTCGGATATTGTGAAAGAATTTTTGTCTCAGATACGATTTGTAAAATATTTTGTCCTATAATAGAAAAATACTTTTGAATACGCTCGAATGCAAAAGTCCAAATCTCTCGAAACGAAATATATATACACAGTTCTCAAACACAATGGATTTCGATGGAGAACAAAAGATTACGTTTTGCAGTGCTGTTTCTTTAAACAAACAACTTTGATTTTGCACAATTTCGAGCGGGTTAAAAATATCAAAGCATACTATTGTAAAAAATTATCTTTAATCCAAATTAATAACAGTTCCAGTTCTAATTGTCATACCATCGTCTAAACAGCATTATAAGAAATTGCATTATTGCTTTCAAGTTTACGTTTCGATGAAAATCTTTACTAATGTCACTGCGAAATGGAAATGTCTTGTAAGTTCCGAAAGGCTTCGCATTCGCATATTCGAATACCTCGAAGCAGTATCGCACCCAGGCCGTCAGAATTTCAATTATGTTTCTCGGCATTTTTTCGGGAATTCTCGACGTGCCAAGCTAAAAGCCGTAGTTCCGATGAAATACTGAATTTCGGAGTCGAGAATGGATTTCTCGAACGTCTCTCGAGGTATCCCTGATCCGTCCATATGCTCGCCTCACGCGCAACGAGAGTTCAATCGTATCGAAGTTCCACCGAATCCCTCTTGGTGCTTGAGAAACACAACGATCGGAATCGAACGGGAAACTTGCGAACTTGGGATTGTACAGAAGTTTGCGGTGATGGAGTTTCGATGTTAAATGCAGATTTTTACAGCGCGGCGATCAAACTTTCGATCCAACTTGCCGCGACAGATCCTCCATTTGCCTGTTATGACACTGCCATCGGTTTGTAGTTTGCGTTCTTACTGGATTCGGTTACGGATACACTCGGCGTCGTGTGTGCCGTTCAAAAGCATGCATTACGTAAATCATTCCGGCAACTCTTGATTACGTAAAGAGAAAACTCGAGTGCGTCGACAATTTCAAGAAAGCGTCGGGACTTAAAATTCACAGAAAAAATGCAATTGTTTCTATGTTGAACGTAGAGTTATTTATGATTATATGTTGGTCTTTTATTTATTTCCTTCGATTTATTTATTCATTTTGATTTCTTTATTTATTTACAGGAGAAGAATCCCTTTGGAAAACATACAAAAAGATCGCAAATTAAAGGTAGGAGCCATCTGACACTAAACACGTTAGCATAAAGAAAAATACAATTTTTTATGATAGACGTTAGTTTTTAAAAATCCTATTTAAATAGTTATTGTCTTCGTGTAATACGACATAATTCCCTTGTTTCAAAAAGTTTTTCATCAAATCGCTACCGGACTTGATTTTTATTAATTAAATAAGATATTGTATTTACTTTGATATTGTATTATACACTTCTATGTTGTACCTAGTATACAGTTTTTAATCATAAAAAGATATCATTTTAATTTCGTCGTCGCTCGACAACGATCCGTCTCTCACCTGCTCTTCCATGACAAATCTGCACCATTTTCGAAAATGCGCAAAAATAATTCGAAGATCCTCGCTTTGCGTACATTTCTGGTCGCGTAAAAACGAATGGTCAAAGAATCAGTGAAGTATTTCCGCGTCTCCGATAACGATTAATTAAAATCCATCCGTATCGGTTGAACGATTTTTCTGAAATGCTTCAACGTCGCAGCTATCCGAAGCGGCTGTGGGAACATAAAAATTTGCGCATTTACGTGAAAACGTTCCGAAGTAGACAGGACAGGTGAAAGAATTATCAGGCGACAGCCGAGGCCGGGAGGATCGATCGGGTCTCGTTACAGCGAACCAATTAGAGTCGGAAGTCATTACTAATAGGGGGTAGGATTTTTGCGGCGATTCCGGCCGTATCTCTTCGGCATAATATCTCCGGCTCGGTGACGAGTTCTCGCGTATACCCGGGACGTATCGGTGGTACAGCGTCGGATGTCCATCGCTTCGTAATTAATACCCTCGCGCGGAGACACGTTGACGGCTCGTTTTAACGCTCTGCCGAGTCGCCCTGTTAAAATACAGGACGAGGCTTCGACCGCGCTCTCGCGGACCCCTCGTTTTCTCTGCGCGTTCTCTCTGTCGCGCGTCTGCTTCTGTTCGGTTCTCGTTCCTCTCGTGTACCTACTACTCTTTCGTTTTACGCTCGCTGACTCATCGATCAATCGCGGAATGATGCCGCGCGCGTTTATACACCTGCGCTACCTGGCCCGGTTGATCGATGATATAAAGGTGTAAACGGTGCGTTGCGTCGATCGGCCGGAATGCGCGCGCGGCCGGCGAAGCGCAATCTGCACGCCGGACGCGTACACGCGGCCGTTTCCTTCTCGACGTACTACGCGAGCGCGTTTTGTCCGCGTCGCTTGAAAAGCTTTCTTTTTCCCACCGTCTCGCATAGTTGTCCCCTGCGTCGCTATCAGCGCGCCGTTCCCTCTTGCCAACGCGACGAAGCGATACCGACCTGTTCCCGGTTCTATTACAATATCCGGTGACGGCGCGCCACCGGCTGGATCGATAAGCGAGACATCGATTTCGTCGAAATACACAATAAACCGATGAATTTATTGTTAATCCCGTAAGCTAGACGTAACGAACGGGCCGGCGATCGCCGGTCACGGCGACGATATTTTTCTCTTTTCCTTTCGCGATGGATCTACGGCCTGCAACTCGACACCCGCATAAATTCAAAGGGTTTATTCGGAATCGGTGATCACGGCGTGTCCAGGCTGAACGGTAATCACCTACGCAGACTACAGAGGCGGGGAAGACAGTCGACGATGGTCCGGTGATCGTTTCCCTCGGATCGGCGAGGTCCGCGGCATTCTCGGGTCCCGTGGCACTTGCCACGAACGCCGTGCCGTCTTCATGGTGCATCGTGGTCTATTTGGCTCGATTCCCGCGCCGAAAGGATTGCAGCGTTATTTATTAGCTAAAGGTCGTAATGTCTGTATTGTTGGATTCGTTTTCACGCCAGTTACAACATTATATCGGGTCGTTCGGAAAGTTGTTTCGTTCCTGAAAAAAAATTTCGTTTCGTAAGCGCGTTAAAAAAGCACGTGATTCAGCAAACGACGGGGCTTCTACGAGATAAGATTTGGAAAACACCAGAAAAATGTCGGGAGGTTCTTTTTTATTTGAAACGTTAAAAAATTGTCCTTTATTTTCTCGTGAAAGAACGAAACAACTTTACGAACGACCCAATAGAATAAAAAAATATATTTTAATGTACGAAAAATCAAAGTGACATTGATTCTTGACCGGAAACAAAAATTTTTTTGATATTTTGTATATTGGAGTTCATAGATATCTGAGTATTGTTTAACTTTTGTTTAAAACATTTTTTCGTCAGATTGTCGCAAAGGCTTGAAAAATCGTGCGAATTGTGGCGCACTTGCACCGCAAACCTGTGAAAAGAAACAGCGTGAAACATTACAATATTTTATTTTATTATAATACACAATTTTTAAATAAAAAGTGTTTTTTAATCTCGAAATTGAAATATAATTTTATTATAATACAATATATTTCAATTTCGAGATTAAAAAACACTTTTTATTTAAAAATTGTGTTACACTAAATTAGAATTATGTAGAAATTGTTTCAATGAAATATCCTAAGCGATATTCAGTGATATTTGAAAGAGTATTCGAAATATCATTTCCGCTCAGTTGCAAAAATACAATTACTTTTCTCTGATACTATACATTAAATATTCGAACCAAAACTAATATTGGTACTCTTCCTAATCTTTTGTGGAAAGAAAAAAAACATTAATCAAATGAAAAATGAATTAAACATTAAAACTCGATAAAAAATAGAAGATCATATAGGATATATAAAAGTAATATAAAAGTAATTGATCGATATATGTAAATTGAAGCAAAATGCTATAAAACTATAGTATATACAAACTACGATACCCTGCATACGTTTTTATCTATAAACTATATCTGTTAACTATAAACATCACTAGTAAAAAAATCACTTTTTAAATACAAGTTTCTCGATATATTTCTTTATCGCGAGAATAGGTTAGTTTCCAGTATTTGTATTCCTCTAGATCACTTGCATATATATCAAGGAACATACGAAAAAAGTGTCACTGATTTTGAATGAAATAAAAATGTTACGTTTCGACGCGCCCGTCGGGCCAAATAGCCCACTTGTGCGGCGGCAGGAGAGAGCGGAGGGGGCGAACAGAGATGCACAGGGTTGCAAAGGGGTGTCGTGGCCACGATGTTTGCGCAACACGGCCGGGGTTGGTTTCGCCGCTAACAGGATTCTTACTTTATCAGGAAGAGCCGCGGCTGATTAGTCGGCAGAAGGAAGCGAGAGTAATTTCAAGGCTGGCTGGCGCAGCTGAACCCGGCAGCCTAGATAGCTATGACAAGACGGGAGTTTACACGCTAGACGGGAGTAATTACATCCAAGTTTCGGGGCTGGCCTCTCTCTCTTTAACCCTCTCGCCCCCCTTCTTCCTCCTTTCCTGCGCCACATCCCCGCGCCTCGCCACAATCGTTTCCACTCTCTCTCCGAACCGCCGCGTTTCCGCGTCTCGTCCTGGCCTCACCGCGATGTCTCTCCGATGCAACCGGTGTAGCTCGACCTCTCCGGCTGCAGATAATGCCCGCGTGCGGTATTATCTGCCGCGAACCCGCCCCAAAACGGATGCCAAGGCTACGAGACGCGCAGGATTAATCAGCCGAAGACGTTGCGCCCTGCGTTGTCGGCACGGATTTCGCGGTTGTCTTCGTCCTGGGATGTCAAGCCGGGAACCGTGAGAGGGTCGACGACTCGCACGAATATTACGATTATTGTTATTACCATTGGATCGTCTTTAGCATGCAATCACTGGCCGCGGACGTTCGGTGCGCATCGTTCTCACGATATTGCGCGTGCATGGGCGCGGCCGCGGCCGGAGCCTGCTTCAAAACCTGACCCATTATTGCTCGCTGAATTTTAATGACTCCGTCCGTGTGTCTCTTGGACCTTGCGCGGGGACGCAGTTCGTTCGGGCTGCATCCTATTTTGCTAAATTGTTTCTCGTGCAATTAGCTGCTAGTGCAGTCTATTGAGCTTTCAGTTAGAGCGCGAGCGTCGTGGTTCGACGATCGAATTCAATTTTTTGTACTAAAATTAGCAAACTACATTATATGTATAGATATTTAACTTTGGAATAGTATACTATTTTTTCAGATTACGCAGTGTCGTGCATTATTGAAGTATTGCATGTTGACAAATTGTGCAAGTAAATTCACGTTGGAACATTGGAAACTTGATAAATTAGATTAAATGAAAGTTACAAGGTACCACCACGGCGACCATAATCTCGTTAAGGGTTACATACTTACGGAAATACTTTCAAGTATTGATATTATAAATAGTAATTAGTCATTAATATTAATATAGTAATATATAATATATATAATATTATAATTATATTATTTATATTATTATATTATATTATATTATTATTATATATATATTATATTATATTATAATAATAATATATATAATATTATATTAATTTAATATATAATATTAATATAGTAATTAGTCATTAATATTAATAACATAGTAAGAAATATTTTTAGACCACAAATTCCAAATGTTTTAATGAAGTTAAAGAAGCTACAGATTTTCAAGTATCTTGCAATTTGCAAAAATTAGTATCCCACAAATTTTGTTGTGGTCGTAACAGCGATCCAACCAATAATATATTTTACCACATGCATTTATACATTTTGCTGTTGCACATTCTTCATAAACTATTCTTCACATTTGCGATCTCCGGAACTTCGATCACGTCTTCCACGCAATTTTATACACATTAATGCAAAATAAATATACGCACCGTCAATTTTCAAGTTACAAGCAATTTATCCGTCTCGCCGGTTGAATAAATTAATCATCGCTAAAGGGAACATTGATAAAGATTATAGTTGCGAGTGTCAGTAAGTCTGCGTTGCATCCAAACGATCTACAGAAAGTTGACAAGATAATCACGTATGAAAAGCGACGCCACCGGTAACCTTACCATTATCTACTTAAGTAGCTAGTGACATTACTCTATCCACTTAACTGGCCTATCTACTGGTTAACTGTCTCAATATTCCTTTCTAAATTAGCCGGTCTATCCCACCGGGAATTAATTTATAGCA